TAGATATAGGAGACCTAGATTGCTGACTCTAATGTTTTCTATAACACACGAGCGTGACACTCATGAGCATTCAAAATGGCGGCTCAACCGGGCAAAAATCATAGAGCGAGATAGGGAAAAAACATGTTCTTCGCATTTTGCGTCGTCATACAGCTTCCGATCCCGTTCTATCACTTTATTTTGGCAAGAACTAACTGGTGTGAAGGTTTTGGATGAATATTTCTACAATTTAAGTTTAATAAAGACAAAATAATCCATCGCTAAATGTTATCTGAAAATCATCACATAGTCGGTTGAGCAGTTCGAGACATTTTGTTACAGAAAATAAAGGTTTTGGTTCTTTGGGTGCTTTTTTTCTCGAGGATCTCGGTTGGGATATATAACAGGGAATAATATTGTGAAGTATTTTGAAGTTAAAACCTATTTTACTTGATTTATTTGGTCTGCTGGTGCGAAAATTCTGATGCTCTGTTTAGTGTGTCTTTGACAACCTCCTTGCTGCTGCAGATGTCAAGGGATCTCAAGTCTATATGGCCTGGACAGTGAAAAGTGATGAATCAATCAGGTTTGTAGAGAGAACTAGTGACAGCGAAAGTTTTCAATGGAAACTAGTTTGAAGAAACTGACTAATTTGTCTGGTATGCATCAAAAACCTTCACAGTATCTAGTTCTCTCCAAGAAACCTGATTGATTCATCATTGATAATCAAAAATAGATGGGACGGCATCTTCGTTTAGATATTTCTTGGATAAGTTGGATTGGCCTTTTATTGATTGCTCTCCACAATCAGCACTCTCCCCTTCAGGCACTCTCCCCTTCAGACAGCTGACTTAAGCATCAGCACTTTCCCTTGACGAGTAAAATTGTCTGGCGTTAGACAGAGTAAAATAATAAAATAGGGCACAAAACAACTCAATGGGTTAACTAGACACATGGGCAGATAGGCCAGTTAACCCATTAAGTGCCACTGCTCTCCCCTTGATGAGTAAAATTGTCTGGCGCTAGACAGAGAAAAATAATAAGTAGGGCGCATTGCAACTCGATGGGTTAATATAATCATCGGGTGTGAAGTGTTTCTCGCACAAGACAGGGTTCGTACGGGTCCTGGAATTTCAATATTCCAAAATCCAGGCCTGGAAATCGTGGAAAATCAAAATTACTTATTTCAATTTACCAGTCATAACAATAATATGAATTGCTGTTTTCAATTTACCAGTCATAACAATAATATGAATTGCTGTTATATAACAGATTTTTGCAAGAGCGAAGTAAATTTTGTTCTTTTACTATATCTGTTATCGTTAAAATATTAACAAATTTCAGACATTCCAGACTTCCAGGTCATGGATTTTGAAAAAAATAGTCATGGGAAGTCATGGAATTTTAAATCGGAGAAAGTGTGCGAACCCTGACAAGACTGGATATTTGATTGGCATCCAGTCTGCCCATTTCATTTTTTAGCAGGCTGGGATTGGTTATAGGAAGTCCAATAGTGCAAAGGGAAAGATGTATTTTTGGTTCACTGATGTGAACAAAAGTAAAACATTTTTGACCTTGAACAGGACAAGGACCTCTATGACAGTTGTTGTCAACATGCATATATATATAGAGAGAGAGAGTCCTAACACAGATTGACACAGACATCAAAACAAGTTGTTTGGTCTAATATTCTTTTATTAAAACTGTAAATAGTTTTATATTGTAGCTAGCAAACTCAAAACTACATTTGTTGTGACGTTGTCATTACAGTATTTACAAAACAAATTGTTTTATTCTATTAATATTAAACTATTCTGTTTATATGATGTAAGTTATAGACTTTATATAGTGTACAAATATATGATGTGTGTGTTTCATAGACTTACTTATGGAAGGAAAAGCGAATACCATCTTTTAAATCCCCACGTCTGCCTTGCACTAATACGATGAACACGATTCAGGCCGACATTCAAGCATTCTTTTCGATAAAACCCCCCAGATATTTTAATAGAATAGAAAGCCCTAGAATTTTCAGATGAAAATACTGTATTTTGGTCGAAATAACAATGAAAGAACAAAATAAACAGTAGTAGCTTTTGGAATAGTTAGATATATATCACATTACTTGAGAAAAAACTCGTAAAAGACTGAAGGAATAAACAGGAAGAAACTAAAGACGAAAAGCGCGCGAAACTGCAGGCCTGCCCAATCTTGCCCGCTTGAATTGTAATTTGTAAATTGTATTAGCTGTAACAAATATTCATCCAAAATCTTCACACCAGTTAGTTCTTGCCGAAATAAAGTGATAGAACGGGATCGGAAGCTGTAGGACGACGCAAAATGCAAAAAACATGGTTTTTCCCTATGTTGTTCTATGATTTTTGCCCGGTTGAGCCGCCATCTTGGATTTCCAAAATATGTCACGCCAATTGAGCCGAGTCAGCAATCTAGGTCTCCTATATCTATGGTTTAAAGCTACTGCACGTGACATATTATGGTTGACATGATTCGTCAATAAGCTTATGAATTATTGATGAGGTTTGAAAAATCTTATAAAAACCTTTCATTGAGCGATTTATTTGAAGAACAATCCAGCTAAAATCCAGCTTCTTTAGATTTGTGATAATGCCTCTTTGAGTTATCGATATTTAAATCAACTTATTTTAATCTTTATTCATGTATGGTGCGTATACGGTATATTGTAATCGACATTTTAAAAGTTTCACCAAACGATACTGGAGGCAAACAACCTATTCATCAATGGAAACTTTAAAAGGCTTATTACAGTAAGACTCATTAACTAATAACCAAGACATTGAAATGATTACTGTTGAAATAAGCAAATACAAAACTAACCCTTTTTTAATCTCGACATGGTATTGATCCCTTACTCTCCTACCGATTTGCTAACAAAATTTGAAAAAATTCTGCGGCTAATTAATCGATATGGAAGAAAAAGTGAACATTATTCTTAGGCGATGTGAACTATGATATCCTTGAAAATAATTGTAGGGATCATAGTACGAATGAACTTAATTTTGTCACAAGCCTATATCAATATAATACAAACAATTGATTAATGATTTCACAAGAGAAACTATTCTCTCAAAAACCTTAATTGCCCATTTCTACTCTAATAAAAACGAAAATATTGTTGCAGCAGGTGTTTCTAAAATTTCAATCAGCAACAACTGTCTAATATACGGTATAGGAAAATTTCCATCACTGAAAGGCGGTGAACACATTATTGAATTTCGGGATTCTACAAAATATATTTTCATTCTTTCTCGATATGCCGGTTTCGCATTACATTGCGATTCAATTTTTGTCAGGGGCGGACCATTAGAAAAGTGATGGAGCGTGGGGCAAAAGCAAAAATAAAAATCGAGCCGGAGAAACTAGAAAAAAAAATTCGTGCACGAGAAATGTTTGAAAAAAAAATTCGTGCAGAGACTTTTCCATAGGGAAAATTATAAGTTGCCAGGGCCTATCAGAGATACAGTGTAAGGGTGGCCCCCATATTTGGAAAAAAGAAAAATAATTTGGAACACTTTTTTATATAAGTAATGGTGTGAGAAAAATTTTTCTAAAGCTAAATGTAGCGGATATTGGTACAAAAAGAGCGTTTTAATCATGTTTTAAGACGATTTTGCCCTCCCCCCCCATCGCTTTTCTAATGGTCCGTCCCTAATGTAAATATCTCGGCGAATAGTAATCTCGAAAAATTCTCACAAAATAACCTTTCGAACGGGGGGGTCAAGTGCCGTCAAAATATTACACAAACCGAAACAATCATATATTTATACTCACCGCTAGGCTTTTTCATATCGAGAAAAAGTTGAATATCGATCTTCTAAACGTTTCGTCATTTTCTGAAAGGCTACATGAGTAAAATACTCTTTGTATTTAAGCGCTTTCGTGTAAAAAGTTTCGTTTGAATACAGCGAGTAGAAATATTTATTTTGAATTATATCTGGTTTTACAAGCACGCGCGTGTATTGCGCAATACTTGGCCAATAAGGAGCTCTTGTAGCCACAATGACCTGTAGAGTCCATTTCTGGCATTTGCAGAGTCATACGACACAAACGTCGCATTGTTTTGACATTTTTATGTCGTATTTCCGGTTGGGATTATCGCAAACTCGGAGCAGAAATGTAAATCCGGCAAAAAAGATCACAATTTACAGATAGACGTTTGAAAATACTTAATCGAACAAGACTATCACAATGAGCATACGTCTCAAGGGGCCGAGGTTATGTTCGGCGAAATTATGTTTATGTTTATAATTTGTTAGTAATACTGCGTAATTTGATCATATACGAACTCGCTTGACTTTCAAAGCTCATAAGTTGCTATAATGTTAACATTGACTAAAATTATCGATAGGAATTAGGAGATTTGTTTCACTCAATCGAATGGTGGTATTTTCGTCTACATAGCATTTACCGAACCGAAGATATGAACCTGCAAAGTCATACTTCACCAGTGAAGTATGCTAATAGAACTTTACTCAAAGACGAACTTACTTTTTGAAACACGGAAAAACCCTGGTGATTTGCTCTTTTTGTTTTTTTGGTGTGGTTTCAGCGATACTCTACTCAATAACCTCGGCATATACTAAACTCAGCAAACTCTTCACTTTCCGCCATCTTTGATTAAGTAGTCGTTATTAAAAAATTCATGCGGAGTAAACGTTGTTATATAAAAGGAAAAGTTTACGAAAATTGAATGCTAAAATAATTTAAATTTACATCTTGTTTTAGTCCATATTTTGGGTTTCAAGATGTTTTTATTTTTGGGTTTTGTTTTATATTGGCTATTATGCCTTTTGGCCACATCACTCATCACATTTAAATGTCTAAAATTCTTACCTTGTCCATTTGCGTTATTTTTACCGACTTGATCTAGAAACAGCAAAATCAAGATACTGCAGAGCGTAGCCATAGCTGAACACGCCATCAACAACTGCATGTACGTACACAATAATCGAAAGACGGAAATACACAGTGACATACAGTGGTGTGACGTGAAGTCAGTCACGTCTTGAACAATCTTAATTTAATTAAGACATTACGTAATTTTGCTGAGTCATAACTTTACTATATTTATCGTTTACGTGGTATCTAAAAATAGTATGACGTAATGTTTTATTAATATCTTTCGGAGAGTATATAAGCAGCGAAAGCTTAAGCTAGATTCATTCATTCATTCATTCAAATATTCTATTAAGAGATAGTTAAAGATAATAAATTGATATTGTTGAGTTAATTGTTGTTGTTGAAGAACTTTCAAGACTCAGAAGAAGTTATTACAAATACGAGAAAGCCTCCTTGGCCAGCGCGTGTCGCTGTGTCTGGTCAAGGAGGGCAACGAGCGTAAACGATGAAGATGCAGACACACATTTTTGTTCGTTCTCGCCCGCAAACGTAACAGGGGTGACGTATTCAATTATAATGCATGTATAGGAAAGAAATGTAACACGTTCTTCCCATCGATATTAGTATAGGTAATTGTATGAGGCTGAGTTAATTCACTCGTGTTTTTAAAGTTTGAAAACACAAGTGAAATTGAACCTTAATTTTACGAGGAACTATGCGATTATACTTGTTAATCATAGGGGCAAAATTTATTCGTTAAGTAAATTGTAAACTTGTCAAGTTCTTGAACCTCGTATGTCTCCATCATAAATACCTTAATTATATACACTTGATAGCGCATCTCTTTTAGTAAAATTGAAGCCAAGCATATTCCAGCGGTTACCTCCATTTGAATAGATGGCCGTTGGTCTTTCCCACTTGCTAATAAACGCTTAAAAACAACAATAACTTTCATCATTTGAATAGTTTAAAAACGTATTTGGAATAGGGTTAACTTAATGTTTAAGTTCCCTGTTTAAGAAATAGAAAACATACGAATCTTCTCATTTCATGGGAACGACCTCAGACTGCAATCATGCACGGCTAATTCAATTTTTGAATTGCAGAATAATTAGATGCACTATCTAGTGTATATAAGATATCTATGGTTTCCATTCCTTCCCCGATGTTTCTTTATTAATGCTGCCCATTTCTTAATAGCTCCAACTTTTAAATTCGTACTTTTTCTAGTGTTCGAGTTTTTTACTAGAAGTTTTTAATTCTTCAATAGGCATCATTATCCGCAACGACAAAAAATAGCCGTTTAAATATGGCTCAAGCCGAGTTAGGTTGATGGGCGTTTGGAGCAGCACCTGACTTGGCAGAATTACGGGTTGGTCTGGGAAAATCTGGCCTGCGTTGGCCACGAAAATTACACTTAAGGCCAGGGTGTAGGCCGTCACACTTAAAACAGGAATGTTTAAATTCACACCCAGAACAAGCCTCTCCTTTGTGAAACTTGAAGCTGTAGCCTTGAGGAATTGAATTTTGCGGCCCCTTACCAGAAAGGTTAGACGGGGCACGTTGCATTGTACTGGGTGATTTTTGCGAAGTATGCTGCGATCGCAGCCACAATTCCCAATGGACATTGGCCCGAGACAACAAACTACGCTGGGTTTGACGCAAAAAGCGAAAGTTTTCATCATAGAACCGCCAATTTTGACCCCGATCTGCCAAGTCCTGTACTATATCCCCGTATTTCATGAGTGCGGGGGACTCATGAGGATACTTTTGAGCATAAACCCCTACAAAAATGCGAAACGCACTCATCCAAACAGAAATATTTGTTATTTTCTTGGCTTTACTTATCGGCTCTACAGAAAGAGATGGTGTGGTAAACCGGAAGAAGAGCTAAAGCTCAAATGAAATTTGTTATCTGACATTGGATTGCTCAACAAAGACCCGAAATCGATGTATTCATCGTTCCAAATTTTATTTTTAAGTTTAATGGAAATCCGACAGTCTATAGGTAAACTAATAGAGTGATATTCCTGCGTTGGTTGAACATGGCTAAAAGTAGGCGCCAAAAACGTACGTCTCACCTGAAATTGTGGCGTGGGCCGAACCAAGAGCGTTGGAAACAGCAAGTTGCGCCACAGCCGTCGGAGGAGTCGCAACATACTCTGAGATGCGGACAACTGAGGCAGCAGGTCAAGAAGGAGAACTCGATGGGACTACGTGGACACCAGAAACTGGAGTTGCTACAGTTTGCAAGCGTCGAGTCACTTCTGCGGTTACGGAGCTGACGATCTCTTGGAGCTGTTGGGGCGTGATAGCCGAGGCTGGAGCAAGAGGAGCAGCTGTTGCTGGCCGAGGAGAACTGGATGAAGGAACCTTCGTGGTTGTTCCTGAGGCACGGGGCGCTCGAGCGCGATGGGAACGGCGTGCTGGTGGTACGGCTACCGATACTGGTCGCTGAGCACGTTGATTTCGAGTGGCGGGCATGGTAAAATTCCTGAAAAACACACTCAGAAACGTAGTGGGAGAATACTAAAAGCTTATGAAGTATAAAATCTAACAAGATAAAATAAAACTAAAATATAGGCTGGGTCGAGCATGGCACACAACAAAGTGGCCGCACCACTCGCCCAAATAAAACGCCACTAAGAAATAATGAGGACGTAGCCTCAGATTAACACGTGTGAGGACGTAGCCATCACAAATAAGCGAGAATAAAATCTCACAAGGATTATAAAGTATGGAGTACTTCTCCAAATAAAACATATTCTGTGTGGACGTAGCCAACACCAGAATCAAAGTGTGAGGGCGTAGCCTCGTGCAAGAAGAAATATAAATAAAATTATACAGTATCTGGTGACATAAAAGTATAAAAGACATACAACCGAAGATAACAGACTAACAACTAGGAAGGCTTGCTAAAGTCTTAAGAATAGCACCGCGATAACTGCGATACAGCGTGTATTGCGCTCTACGATTGAAATGAACACCGTCTGGTAGAAACGCGCTGTAAGAGTCCCTTATGACTCCAGCAAAAAACGTTGGGAACACCGTCCAGCACGACCTCTAAATATTGGTTCAAAACAAACGCCTGCCTGTTGAACTCCGGGGAAGCTGCCCGATGTGTAATTAGGCAAACCCCTACTATCTGAACATAAGGGAGCTGAAGTAAAAGATGAACGAGGTCTTCGATTTTGGAACCCACTACTTCGGGTTTCCTATGGCTAAGGTCCATGAGGACCCGCACGATGTGTGAAAAAATTAAGGCAAAATGTGTTCGTTCCCATGGCATTTGTAAGGCAGGCGTTTGAGGGTTGACATATACAAATTAAATTAACTCACCCAATTATATCATACTAGTGTAATTTAATAGTCCGTTTTATTCTTGGTTTAAATATTGATAAGCTACATCCAATTTAGTAATAATTTAATAATTCGTAATAGCTTAACACATTTGTCAACGCCATAGTTGGGAGTTATAAATGCAAACACGCGGTAATTTCGAACAAAACCCGTATGCTCAGATCAATGTGCGAAATGTACTTTCGAGTATATTCGCATTGGTTTGACTATAGCAAGAATTAACGCGTACAATGACTTGCTCTTTGGCCATCCGAAATTTGGTAGAAAGCACGAAAGAAGCGCAATCGAATGGAGAGAGAAGAACAGGAGATTGTTATTCTCTCCGTGCGCGCTCGGGAGTCGGGAATGCCTGACTAAAATCGATAAGTCCCTCGCGGTTCAATCTCCCGCCAATAGTGAGCTTAAGCAAGTGACGTTTTTGACAACACGAACGGCATGAGTAACGTCAGAAGACTGGGTCAAGGGCTGTGATTGGTGAAAAACGTCAACTTTACTTCCGGTCGACGTCCGTGTTGTCAAAAACGTCACTTGCTTAAGCTCACTAATATTACATCGCCGCGCGCGTCAACTAGCGCTCTCATTAAATCGAAGGAAATATCCACTGGGAAATATCACCACAAGAAAAGACGCGTCGCATTAAAACGAATGGCGAGCAATTCATCGGAAATCCCTGAATGTTGGTGCATGTGCTTATCAGGAGAACATCAACGAAATTATCGGCATCAGAAGGCGGTCGCCGGGTATATTCTGATGTTGTGATTGGGGCAACCGATGTGATAATTTCACGACTCAAGGTATTAGACACGACTCTTTCGGAACAAAGCCAGTCAATTCTGCTTAAATTATTAAAATGCCAGATTGGACCATGCTTCTTCTGAAAGTCAGAACAAAAATTTCAGACGTAGGAAGGCAGACACTATTTAGTTACTTAACTTGGACGCACTGGGGTATGTTGATATTTGATATCCTCTTTCATATTTAATACAAATACATAGTCATCCGGTCAAGTACATTTCCAAAATAGACAAAAAATGTGTACAAAACACTCTCATGCATGGCCAATGATTTACGGATAATATTAAGCGGAAGTATGAATATAAGTGTAACTGCATGATAATTGTTTTACTGGTGATATTTTACCTAAGGTGTGATAGATTTGCATACTGACGCATATATTTAAACGTGTTTATTAGACATTTTATACACTATTGTTATTTGTTTTACTCATTCCGTGCTTTGGTTACTGACCATTGGAGCCCAAAGGTTATGAATGTAACAATTTACTTTATTATATGTGATAATTCTTACAATCATACCTTTAAAAAAAAGTTCAACCATACAAACCATATCACAAGACTCTACAATACACATGACTTTCAATAATTACCTCACAAATTTCTCCTTGGCCCGGGAGCCTCGTTTACATGAATCGTGAGCGAATTGTGTTTCTTCTTGATTCATCAAGCGAGGCTCCCAGACCAAGGAAATACTTGTGACGTAATTATCGAAAAGGTGTATTGTATAATGTCAATGTTGTATAAAACATTAATCATTTGTAACACCACATACACACTAGAAGCAATCGCATTCTAGAATGGAGTTCACTACAAGTGGAGATACCAATATCATGGCAGGTGGTATGATTATGATGGCATTTCTCTTGAGGAAATCATTGATGTTTCTGCACCTTAACCGGTAGGATTTACTATTGCCTCTACTGTTTATTTCAAAGAGTATGTAGAACCAATCATGCAGAATCACTAGATGCACTATTCTACCTTATGTACGAGTCAAATCCAACCGCGATCAGGCCCCCTCCCCCGGGCAACCCCCTGGGAATTTGACTTTTGAAAAAATAATTGGTCAAATGTCCGCCCGAACAGGCAGAAACCACAGTCAAATGCCCAGCTATAAGGGTAGTCCTGGTTATTCAAGTATTTCAAGATTAAAAAGAACGAAAAATAGGCCAGACTGTTCTTCTTTTTGTTCAACTGGGCATATTGTGTCATATATATATGATTGATATTTGTGATTCAGAAGCAATTTTTGAACTATCGAAAAGACGCAAAATAGAAAACTCGTGAAGCGTTAGAATGTACACATATTTTTAGGGAAAACTGCTGAGCAAGTTGTTGTCAAGTGGTCAAATGCCCGGCCGGGCCGTCAAATTCCGACCGGGCCGTCAAATTCCCGCCTATACGGGGATAGTGTTAAGTCAAATGCCCTGGGGTTGCCCGGGGGGGGGGGCTGATCGCGGTTGGATTTGACTCGTACATTATTACTTCTTATCACCATGCAGTGATAATGCATACTAATTGAAGAGTTATACGCTCACTTTTATTTCACAATAAATCCTATAAAGTAATGTTAGTATTCAAGACATAAAAAATACATTGCTGTTGTACAGTACAAAGATTATGAGAATTATTTTAGTGCACGCTCTTGTGTCAGACAGATGCAGTCATCTTTTGCTGACAGATTAAGAGGATGTAGTCTTCTTTGCTTAGTCAGTTAAAGCTGAAAGTTGTATCATAATTATTACACAGCAACTTATATCAAAATGAAAAGTAAAATAAATTCTATAATTTTATCATAAGCTACTATTCAAGACATAAAAACTACATTGTTGTTGTACAGTATAAAAATTGTGAGAATTCTTTTAGTGGACGCTCTTGTGTCAGAAAGATGCAGTCATCTTTTGCTGACAGATTAAGAAGATGTAGTCATCTTTGCTTAATCAGTTAAAGCTGAAAGTTGTATCATAATTATTACACAGCAACTTATATCTAAATGAAAAGTAAAATAAATTCTATAATTTTATATTAAGCTACTATTCAAGACATAAAAACCCCATTGCTGTTGTACAGTATAAAAATTGTGAGAATTCTTTTAGTGGACGCTCTTGTGTCAGAAAGATGCAGTCATCTTTTGCTGACCGATTAAGAAGATGTAGTCATCTTTGCTTAATCAGTTAAAGCTGAAAGTTGTATCATAATTATTACAAAGCAACTTATATCTAAATGAAAAGTACAATAAATTCTATAATTTTATATTAAGCTACTATTCAAGACATAAAAACTACATTGCTGTTGTACAGTATAAAAATTGTGAGAATTCTTTTAGTGGACGCTCTTGTGTCAGAAAGATGCAGTCATCTTTTGCTGACAGATTAAGAAGATGTAGTCATCTTTGTTTAATCAGTTAAAGCTGAAAGTTGTATCATAATTATTACACAGCAACTTATATTTAAATGAAAAGTACAATAAATTCTATAATTTTATCATAAGCTACTATTCAAGGCATAAAAACTACATTGCTGTTGTACAGTATAAAGATTATGAGAATTCTTTAGTGGACGCTCTTGTGTCAGAAAGATGCAGTCATCTTTTGCTGACAGATTAAGAAGATGTAGTCATCTTTGCTTAATCAGTTAAAGCTGAAAGTTGTATCATAATTATTACACAGCAACTTATATCTAAATGAAAAGTACAATAAATTCTATAATTTTATCATAAGCTACTATTCAAGGCATAAAAACTACATTGCTGTTGTACAGTATAAAGATTATGAGAATTCTTTTAGTGGACGCTCTTGTGTCAGAAAGATGCAGTCATCTTTTGCTGACAGATTAAGAAGATGTAGTCATCTTTGCTTAATCAGTTAAAGCTGAAAGTTGTATCATAATTATTACACAGCAATTTATATCTAAATAAAAAGTACATTAAATTCTATAATTTTATATTAAGCTACTATTCAAGACATAAAAATACATTGCTGTTGTACAGTATAAAAATTGTGAGAATTCTTTTAGTGGACGCTCTTGTGTCAGAAAGATGCAGTCATCTTTTGCTGACAGATTAAGAAGATGTAGTCATCTTTGCTTAATCAGTTAAAGCTGAACGTTGTATCATAATTATTACACAGCAATTTATATCTAAATGAAAAGTACAATAAATTCTATAATTTTATCATAAGCCTATTCAAGGCATAAAAACTACATTGCTGTTGTACAGTATAAAAATTGTGAGAATTCTTTTAGTGGACGCTCTTGTGTCAGAAAGATGCAGTCATCTTTTGCTGACAGATTAAGAAGATGTAGCCATCTTTGCTTAATCAGTTAAAGCTGAAAGTTGTATCATAATTATTACACAGCAACTTATATCTAAATGAAAAATACAATAAATTCTATAATTGTATCATAAGCTACTATTCAAGGCATAAAAACTACATTGCTGTTGTACAGTATAGAGATTATGAGAATTCTTTTAGTGGACGCTCTTGTGTCAGAAAGATGCAGTCATCTTTTGCTGACAGATTAAGAAGATGTAGTCATCTTTGCTTAATCAGTTAAAGCTGAAAGTTGTATCATAACTATTACACAGCAACTTATATCTAAATGAAAAGTACAATAAATTCTATAATTTTATATTAAGCTACTATTCAAGACATAAAAACTACATTGCTGCTGTACAGTATAAGAATTGTGAGAATTCTTTTAGTGGACGCTCTTGTGTCAGAAAGATGCAGTCATCTTTTGCTGACAGATTAAGAAGATGTAGTCATCTTTGCTTAATCAGTTAAAGCTGAAAGTTGTATCATAATTACTACACCGCAATTTATATCTAAATAAAAAGTACATTAAATTCTATAATTTTATATTAAGCTACTATTCAAGACATAAAAATACATTGCTGTTGTACAGTATAAAAATTGTGAGAATTCTTTTAGTGGACGCTCTTGTGTCAGAAAGATGCAGTCATCTTTTGCTGACAGATTAAGAAGATGTAGTCATCTTTGCTTA